CTTGCCAGAGCGACTCTAATTGAATATAAGGATGCTGAACTACAAAAAACTATGGTCCTAATGACTTGAAAATTAAGATGGCAAAAAAGAAAGATGGTATAATTAGTAGTAAAATAATCAACTTAATCAATCAACAATATTTCCGACTTCCCTAGACGAGGGGTCGGTGGTCGCCCTGGGTAGAGTGTGCGCGGACAGCGATGGGCCATCTCCCTTTCCCGCACCAGCCCAACCGAAGTGTGGCGATCGCGGGAAGCGGAGGCGACCGGGCCGTCATGATCGTAACGCGCGATGGTGGTCGGTGTAGGCACTTCGCCTTCGCGGAAACCGAACTCCCGTATTTACACGGTGCAGAAACCTCGGGTCCGGATGTTAGTATCGATCTTAACAGGTCCGAACAATGGCTACCCTTACAGGTCCGAACGTGACTAACCATCTTGATTGGTCCGAACGCATTGCTAACACTCTATTCTGGGAGGTTCGGATCGTTCTTTGTGCTTAATATTGGTTATTATAATCATATGTGCTGTGCTAATTATTACAAGTTGAGTGGTCATTAGCCATGATAGCTTGCAAATGGCGATTAATTGTTTTATTAAGTTGGATGTTATATGTACATTTGATTAATACAACACAGTTCCTATTAACTAACTTATAGATAGTGATTAGTATACAGAGCTTAATTAACGTTGATTAGATATTGGCTATTAAGTAATTGAAATTCGCTTTATTGCAGAAGCGATCACTAGCGATTGGTTATATTATACATTAATATACGATTGGCTAATTATGTCCAGATAGCTATTGGTCGGGCGCACCACCGCACCCGCGCCAACAGTAAACTATGTTTGTTATTACGTTAATTATTTACATTGAATCTAATGTGATACTTAATGCTTAATAATAGTAATGTGATTATATGTACATACTATCGAATAACTATTGGTCGAGCGCACCGCCACGCCCGCGCCAACAGTACACGATGTTGTTCTTACTTTAGTTATGTACATTAGTCCTATGTGACTATTTAACTTAATAATGTTGATAATGTAATTATATGTACATGCAATCAGTTGGTTATGTTCGAATAACTGTTGATCGGGCGCACCGCCCCACCCGTGCCAACAGCAAACGATGTTGTCATTACATTGGTTATTTACATAAAGTCATGTGCTTAATAATAATAAAACTGAACTATATGTACATGCAATCAGTTGGTTATGTTTGAATAACTATTGGTCAGGCGCACCGCCACGCCTGCGCCAGCAGTAACGATGTTGTGTTGTTGCATTGGTTATTTACATTACCAGAATGTGATTGTTTAGATTGCCTTTTGCTTAATAGTAATATAATTATATGTACATACAATCAGTCAGTTATGTTACGATACTGTTGGTCGAGCGCACCGCCACACCCGCGCCAACAGTACTCAATGTTGTTCTTAATTTAATTATTTACATTAATCCTATGTGACTATTTAGCTTAATAATGTTGATAACGTAATTATGTACATGCGATCGGTTGGTTATGTTCGAATAGCTATTGATCGGGCGCACCGCCACACCCGTGCCAACAGATATTGTTATATTAGAGCCGACTAGTGCAAATAGTTTGGAAGAAAGGATAAGTGAGTGGATCAAGTAAAAAACTGCACATTTTTGTCAATTCTGACCATTTTACGAACAATTGTTAGGATTGTTAGGATCAAAGAAATCCTAACAAAGTGGTAGAAAGCGGCCCACTGAACTGTTATATAGTGCCGGCTAGTGTAAAAAGCCTAAAAACTAACCAAGACCCGGAAACCAGCGGTTCCACATCATGTTAGGATTACCCTAACATCTTGCTGAGTCGGACCGGCATCCTAACATCTTGCTGAGCAGGGCCGGCACCCTAACATCTTGCTGAGTCGGGCCGGCACCCTAACATCCTACGGAATTGGACCGACATCCTATCATCTGGCTGTGCAGGACTGACATCCTAACATTCTGCTGAGTCGGACCGGCATCCTAACATTCTGCTGAGCAGTACCTATATCCTAACATCATACTGAGTTGGGCCGGCATCCTAACACTTTGCTGAGTCGGGCCGATATCTGCACATCCGGCTGAGCTGGGCTGACATCCTAACGTCTCTGCGGACGCAACCTTGCTGACCTGGGACCTCCTTGGGAGGCCCCCTGGAGGATACTGTTCCTGTGCTGCGGTGCAACAAGCCGCATCATCCCCGAGCCGACCGCCTGTGCCAGCTGCCCTGCTGCGGTGGCTACGGATCCACAGGCCGCACCCCCAATTCCAGGTAGGAGAGTGCCTCCTTTTTCCACGGGCCGCCCTGAGCTACCCCAAGGGGCCCTGCTTCTCCCACCCATCCGGTTGGAGAGGAGCCATGTCTGCCATGTCTGCCGGTGTTTGCCCCCCCTCCCCCGTACTAGGACGGGCCTAAGCTCGCCGCCGTCCGGACCATTGGGCCGGTACACTTTTACTGGAACGGGCACCGGTCCAACCGCTGCTGCCTGGAAATGAAAATCAAACAACAATTATCATAAGCAATTATTTAGAATCCCTTTCTCAATTGTGATTGTTTGACTAATTAAGAGTTCCGAATGATGATTAATGTTATTATTGTTATCATTGATTAGCTAATTATTCTTAGTGACTATTATTAGTAAATCAAGTTAAGCAATGCTCATAGGGCCATGGGCCTCTCCACCTTTCACCCCCTTGAGGTAGTCTTGTTGATTCTGTTAATCATAAGGAAAATAATGATAGATCTGGTCTAAATGTTGATTTTACCTAGTTTGTGATTTTGTAATTTATGTTTAAATAGTTTAAATTCTATTTTATTTTCTTTTAAAATCTCATGATTATTATTGTCAGAAAGGAATGTGTTAATGTTAATTTTTTCTAGTTTGTGATTTTGTAATTTAAGTTTAAATAGTTTAAATTCTATTTTATTTTCTTTAAAAATTTTAAGATTATTATTGTCAAAAAGGAATGTGTTAGGATTACTAAGATTGCCAGGAATGTTAGGATTATCAGCAAGATAATGAATGAAAGGGGAATGTTAGGTTTAATAGAAATGTTAGGATTGTTAAGAATGTTAGAATTATCAGCAAAATGATGAATGAAGGGGAATGTTAGGATTATAGGAATGTTAGGATTGTTAGGATTATCAATAAAATGACGAATGAAAGGGGAATGTTAGGATTGATAGGAATATTAGGATTGTTGGGAATGTTAGGATTATCAGCAAAATGATGGATGAAGAGAGAATGTTAGGATTGATAGGAACGTTAGGATTATTAGTGTTGTTAGGATTATCAGCAAGATGATGAATGAAAGGGGAATGTTAGGATTGATAGGAATGTTAGGATTGCTAGGATTGTTAGGAATGTTAGGATTGTTAGGATTATCAACAAAATAGTGAATGAAGAGAGAATGTTAGGATTGTTAGAAATGTTAGGATTGTTAGGATTATCAGCAAGATGACGAATGAAAGGGGAATGTTAGGATTGATAGGAATGTTAGGATTGTTAGGATTATCAACAAGATGATGAATAAAAGGGGAATGTCAGGATTAATAAGAATGTTAGGATTGTTAAGATTATTAGGAATGTTAGGATTATTAGGAAATGTTAGAAATAATGAACGTTAAGATTGATAGGAATGTTAGGATTGTTAGGATTGTTAGGAGTATCAACAAGATGATGAATGAAAGGGAAAATGTCAGGATTAATAAGAATGTTAGGATCGTTAGGATGGTTAGGATTATCAGCAAAATGACGAATGAAAGGAGAATGTTAGGATTGATAGGAATGTTAGGATTGTTAGGATTGTTAGGATTATCAACAAGATGATGAATGAAAGGGGAATGTCAGGATTAACAAGAATGTTAGGATTGTTAGGAATGTTAGGATTATCAATGAAATAATAAATGAAGAGAGAATATTAGGATTATTAGAAATGTTAGGATTGTTAGGATTATTAGGGTTATCAGCAAGACGACGAATGAAAGGGGAATGTTAGGATTGATAGGAATGTTAGGATTGTTAGGATTATCAACAAGAGGATGAATGAAAGGGGAATGTCAGGATTAATAAGAATGTTAGGATTGTTAGGATTGTTAGGTTTGTTAGGAAAGTTAGGATTGTTAGGAATGGTAGGATTGTTAGGATTATTAGGAATGTTAGGATTGTTAGGATTAAGCTGGTAATAATTGATTAGGAATATTAATTTGATTAAGAATGAAAAATTGTTAAAATAAATTTGTTAGAAGTATTAATTAGATTAAGAAAAGAAACAATCGTTAAAATCAATTAAGGAATGAAAAGGGGGAAAAAAAATATTATGAACAAAAACAAACAAAGGCACAATCCCAAACCCTAATCAAAACCAAAAAAAAAATGCAATATGTTTGATTCAATATACTGATCATAGATACAATACTTTATTACCCAATATTGATCCAATATTGATCACTGTAAATCAAACACAACAATCAGAAAGTATTATTATTATGTTAACTCTAGTCGATGGTCACAGGGAGTGTTCTGTAGACAATTACACTGAACGGACGTGTTCGACGTTATCCTTGATCTGTTATTCGTTTAAATAAGTTGTGGGGTGTCTCCTCGGGCTTTGCCCCTTCATGTTGTGATCTCTTCATCACGATTCCGAAGTCCGATTTGTGCATAGAAAAATAGAAAAAACCAAGTAACAATTTGTGTTGTGTGCGTGGATTTGAACTCGTTCTCGTCGTCTATACACCGAGGAGTTATACACTGCGCCACGGATGCTCGTACCGCTCGGCCGAAATAAGTGATCTATATGAGCGCATACGAACAGTTAACAACAGATTGAACACGGAGTAAAGCAACTGTAAAGCATATTAGCGCCCTCTAGTGACGAGTTTTATTACTGTAACCTTACTCTTGAAAAGATCATTGGAACATAGCGTCATCAATTGTATTGTCAGAGTCGTAAAATCGGCCTGTGGTTTTTACCATGTTACACTGTGGTATCTGTGGTAAATTCTTATCTCCGACTGACGCTGCTAAATGTGGTGGGTGTGCTTTGAAATATCACCGGGCCTGCGTAGGAATATCTGCTACTGCTCAAATTAATAAAGACTGGATGTGTACTGGCTGTAAAAAAAGCGTGCGCCGCGGTAATAATAGTCAGACCCTAGTAAAAGGAATCGGTGGAGTAATGGACGTGGATGCTCCTTTGCCGTCGATGTCTCCCCAGAAGATAGATGTAGAGCACCAGCGATCTGACGCCGGGACTTCCCGGAGGGCTCATTCGGGAAATGCGATAGAGTCCGATATGTCTGTTATGAAAGAGTTCCTTCAGGAGTTCAAGGAGTGTATAATGAAGGAAATGCGCGAGTTCCGTATGGAAATGGCACAGTTGCGGGAATCCTTCACGACCGTCACTGGGCGTATCGACGGCATGGAGCAGCGTCTAGTGGCGCTGGAACAGAGCAGGGCGGATAGTGATGTCGGCAGAGTAAGAGAGTTAGAGTCCACGATAGCAAAGCTCAAGCTCGAGTTGGATGACAGAGACCGGGAAGCATTGCTATCGGACTTGGAGATTGGCCAGCTCCCGGAGGAGAAGGGGGAGAATGTGTTTCATTCGGTAATGGTGCTTGCTGGGAGGCTGGGCGTTTCATTGGAGGAGCGTGACGTTGTATTTGTGGAAAGGGTGGGAGTACCACCAGCTGAGGGAGGGCGGCAGCCGCGTCGTGTAGTGGTGCGCCTGTCGCGTCGTCAACTGCGTGATGAACTGCTGCTGGCGGCACGTGTGCGTCGTGCTGGCTTGAACTCCGAAAAAGGCCCGCGTGTTTTCATTAACGAGCGTCTAACCCGCTCAAGCCGTCAGCTTTTTCATCGCGTGCGCGAGGAGTGTCGACGGCTGCAGTGGCGCTACGCCTGGACAAAGCGTGGCCGCATCTTTGCACGGCAAGGGGATGGGAAACCAGTTTTCCAATTCCGCTCAGAGGAGGACCTCAACCGGGCATTCAGCCCGCAGCTACCGGTTTCGTAATAACCTGCAAATTTTAAAACTTGTAAATATTTTCATTTTATATAACGAGTTGTTATTATTTAGAGAGTTTGTGTTTTCAGTAGAAATTTTGCTTGAATGCTTCTATATAGAAACTATGCTGAAACATAATTTTATCAAATATGTGTGTCTTAAAGATAAGTTAGTATTTACACTATTTTTGCGAGATCGGTTTTTGATGTATTTTTTCTCATTTTATAAACTCGCGGGCTGCTGGTGTGGTGTGTGCCTTATTGTGGTTGGTTTTAACATTTTAAATTATACGTCTACTGCCTATAGATTTCTAGCTGATGCTTTTGTAGAGGTTGCGCTTCCGCCTTACAATATAGGTATATATTATTTTTATTTTAGTTATTCTGCCTACATTATCTTATATGTATTTAAATCATTCTTAAGTATTTTGTTATATTTATATTGCCGTAGAAATGCATAGTGACAAATATTTCAGGGTTGGTCTTTTTAATGCTGGTTCTTTGGGTACCAATCACGATAATTTTATCTTGGCAATGCAATCTCAATCGGTTGATGTTATGGCCATCAATGAAACCTGGTTGAGGAGAGGTGAGGAGGAGCGAGCGCCATCCATTCCTAACTATCGGCTCTGGCACATACCTCGTCCTAAAGATATATGCGGGGGACGTGGTGGGGGTGTAGGTTTCTATATTAGGGCAGGCATGAACGTTAGAAGATGTAAACATCCAGTGCATCCCTCAATAGAACAAATGTGGCTGAAACTTAATATGAATGGTAATAAAATAGTGATTGGCACGGCATACCGTCCGCCCTGGACGAATGCCGGATTATTTCTTGACGTCCTTTTGGAAAGTATGGGTTCATTTTCTGCTTATGATTATTTAATTCTCATAATATTTAATAAACTAAATAAATAGAGATAAGAACCCTAGATCTAAGCAACCATACTGTAAAAGGAGCATAGCTTAGCTTAACAAAAAGGAATCGAACCTGAGATTTTTCGGGCCGCCCCTCCGGTGGGCGTCCGGGGCCGTGGAACGGAACTGGTGGACCCGCTTCTGCGGCTCCGGGGGTCGGTCGGGGGGATCAAGACCCAATCTATTATACTCATTAAACTCCAATAAATCACTTCCCTTCATTAGCAATAAACAAATAAGTAACTTTTTTCAATCTCAGAACAGGAATTGAACCTGAAACCAATAGGCCGCCCCCCCGGTAGGCGTCCGGGGCCGTGGAGCGGAAGTGGTGTACCCGCTTCTGCGGCTCCGGATGTCGGTTGGGAGGGCGATCCTCAACTTATCAAATTCAATATGTTCTTTTTATAAACAATAAGTAGCTTCTTCAGTCTCAACATAGGAATCGAACTTGGAACCAACTGGCCGCTCCCCCGGTCGGCGTTCGGGGCCGTGGAGCGGAAGTGGTGTACCCGCTTCTGTGGCTCCGGGGGTCAGCCGAGGGGGGCGACCCTCAATTTATTATATTCATTAGACTTCATAAGTAATATTCATTCATCAGCAATAAGTAACCTCAGAACAGGAATCGAATCTGAGACCAAAGGGCTGCCCCCTCGATTGGCATCCGGGGCTGTGGAGCGGAAGTGGTGTACCCGCTTCTGCGGCTCCGGGGGTCGGTCGGGGGGGCAATCCCCAACTTATCAAATTCTGTAGGTTCTTTTTACTAACAATAAGTAGCTTCCTCAGTCTCAACATAGGAATCGAACTTGGAACCAATTGGCCGCTCCCCTGATCGGCATCCGGGGTCGTGGGGTGGAATGGGAGATCCGCTTCTGCTACTTTGGGGCGGGTGGGGTAGGCGACCCCCAGTTCATCACATTTTAAGTGCAATAGGTGGCCTTCTTCAGCTTCAACATTTACAGTCGTCGTTGTTTTCGTTTTTTTTTTACAAATCTATTTTTCAGACTCTACGTAGGTATACAGGAATCGAACTAGGAACATACATAGGAATCAAATCTGTAACCAATAGGCCGCTTCCCTGATCGGCGTCCGGGGTCGTGGGGCGAAATGGGAGGATTCGCTTCGGCGGCATTAGGGGCTGATCGGGTGGGCGACCCCCAATTCATCACATTTTAAGAGCAATAGGTGGTCTTCTTCAGCTTCAACATTTACAGTCGTCGTTGTTTTCGTTTTTTTTACAAATCTATTTTTTCAGACTCTACGTAGGTATACAGGAATCGAACTAGGGACATGCATAGGAATCGTTTCTTTTACAATTTTAGTTTCAGTTTCACCTAGGTTAGGAAAGGAATTAGGATCAAATAGATTAATAATATAATGTCATATATGTACTACCCCTCTGAAACAGCGAGCATGCACATCACACATCTCAGCCCAGCACCAACATAAAGGCTAAATCACCGCTTGACCTCTTTAGGTCGGCCGAACCCCTGTAAGACCTCTTCGAAACTTACAAGACAAAAGCTGAATGGACTTCATCACAACACCCTACAGAAGTTTTATATTTTCAGACAACCAAAGGAAATAAGAACTGCTGATGAATGCAAATCATACAGGAAGCAGTAGCAGCCCCAAAGCCTTTCTTTTCAAGGTCTTACAGAACAGTAGCAGCATAAAGCGACTTTCACAATCCTGGCTGCACCAATCGAAACAACATCAACATCCAAAAGTCGCACTACACAGGGTGCCTCAACGGCCCCCGTGTCCCGCGACCATAGCCTTCGTCACTGATGGATACGGTCGTGGGGCGGGGGGGCCATTTTCATTTTCATTTCACCTCTGGCCTCATTTTCATTCCATCATCTTCTGCCATCTATACTCATCCATATGTTCGCCTATCATACATTTCTGTCTGGGAACAGAGGTTCTTTCCTCACCTCACACTCACCATTCTTACTTCACCATTCTTCGACCCTTGTTCCCACTTTCTTATCACCCTCTATCCCCCTTTCCTTCTCTCTACCCCTATGGAGGGGGTTCGTGGACCATCATGAAGCTCCCGGGCAAAGCCCAACCTCCTCTACTCATCCCCACCTGTCACCGGCGCCTCTTCTATCAATAGAAGCTGGTACAATCCCCCCTCATCAGGGGGATTTAAAGCAAAATTTAATGCCAAACGGTAAGCGATTAAAACAATACATTCCCTGTTGTGTCACAATCGTACATAGCTTTTTTGAGCTGTCATCTAATAACAGCTGTAAGTAAGCATTGCTAAGGTCTATTTTTGCAAATATGAGACCCCCTTGTAATGCCGCAAAAATATCTTCGATTCTAGGTATCGGATATTTGTCATCAACTAATACTGGATTTAGAGTAGTTTTGAAATCACCGCATAAACGTACCTGGCCACTCTTCTTTATAACGGGGACCACTGGGGTACCCCACTCACTCCACTCGACGGGCGAGATAATCCCCTCGCGCTCCAGCCGTGCCAACTCAGCCTCCACCGCCGGGTGCAGCGCGTGCGGTACGGGGCGCGCGCGCCGCCACACCGGTATCGTGCCCTCTACCACCGCTAGTTCGATTTTACATTTATTGAAAGTACCTATACCCGACGCAAATACTTGTGGAAATTTTTTTTGTAACTCGTTTACAGCCTCTTTCGAGTTCGACGGTTGTGATTCGATACTAGCGACTTGTTTCAAAACAGGGAAATTAATATGAAAAGATCGCATCCAGTCCCGGCCCAATAACGAGGGACTAAATTCGTTATCTATGACTGTTAAACTTAAATCGGATATCACTATACCATTTATTTCTACGACACAATTTAATTTACCCTTCGGTTGTACTTTATGTCCGCTATACATTTTTAAATTTGAAGTACAAGGTTGTAATGAATATTTACTAAAATATTTTTTAAAAGTCTTATAAGAAATAATACTGACCGCTGAACCGGTATCCCCTTCGAACTGAATTAACACATTATTTATTTTTACGGGTATCACCCACCGATCGTCGAGGTCATCATCATCACTCATTTGGTACACCGTCACCCTGTTGGCACATTCGGATTCTGACGAACTTTCCGACGACGCCCGTTCGTCGATGCCGTGAACGACTCTTTGTTTACGTAAACGGCATACCTTAGCAATGTGACCTTTCTTTCCGCACACGTAACACTCACTATGCAGGAACGAACACTTTTCCGCCATATGATTACCATGGCACCGGTAGCAACGCTGCCCACCGCTGCCGCCGTCAGCGCCGACGTAGCCCCTGGAGCGGCACGCGCGGCCTCGAGTCGGGGCGCTGCCGCGCCGGCCGCCCACCGCGTAAACCGGCTCGGCCTGCGCCGCCGCTGCCGGTCCGCCGCCGCCACCCTCTCGTATCACCGCCTCGAGCGATAACGCCAGCTCAGTGGCGCGCGTAAAAGTTAAATCTTCATCTTTCTCCGTCATTATCCGATGCCTAATTCGATCGCTGCTCAGTCCGTATACGAATTGGTCGCGTAGGTTTTCATTTAAACTGTCGTTTGTTTTAAACTTGCATGCCTTACTCAGTTTTTTTAGATGGACTAAATACTCGTTTACCGATTGGTTTTCCACTTGTTTACTAGATCGAAAAATCATTCTCTCGGCAATCACAGAACGTTTCGGTGATAGGTATTCTTCGACGAATCTCTCGATTTCACTAATTTCTACATTTTCTGGATTTTCGGGATAACATAAATCTATTATTAAGTCTAAAGCTTCTGTGCCCACAACCGCTACCAGATACTTAGACTGATTTTTCATTTTAACACTGTGAATGTGTGAACCACGCCTTCAATCTACAAATGTACGTTGACCACCTGTCCACATTCAGCTTGAATTCTTTAAAGTTAGTAAAATCTGGTATACCAGTCTTTACACTCATCGTTGAAACACCCTTATCAGTACTCATTTCACCCAAACAACAGTTTCCTCGTCGCCAAATAGTTTATATTAACTGGGAAGATGTTATCAAGAATAGACGCAATACGAGACTGAAGTATATTTATTTGTTATTCAGATACCCTCAAATACACATATATACCACAAAAATTTTACTGTA